GAGTCGAAAACGCATTTCAGAGTTTCGGTTAACATTTCATGAGTTAGCTCAGGAAATGTCGCTCATTTTTTACGCCTTCAAGTGTCTACTTGCGTAACTTACGAGAGCTCTCTGTTGACAGTGCGTTCTTCGCTTATATCTATGTATTTTTGCAAGGGTACTTCGAGCCGGATCCCATTTCTAAATCACCTACATAATTTGTATGTCTGACAAATACCAGCCACTATTGCAAAAATTGCGCAATTCCGTGTACTTTTATGTCACACACTGTGTCATAGACGACGATGAAATAGATGGGCACAAGTACTTCTGAAATTATTTCTCTTCAATTGGTACTGTAAAAAGTATCTGAAATGGAAGCATACGAATGTCAGGTATAAGTCAATACATAGTAGAAACAGTCCTCACTGTGATCTCCTGGCAAAAACCTGATCGCGTCAACAAAATTCACTGTATGACCGGAGAAAACCATCTAAGGGGTGATTGCGTGGCTCATTGCGTGGCTGATTGTCACGAGTATTGCCCAGTTATCTTGTCATCACCAACAGACTTTGAGTGACGCGGATACATGAACATGAGGCGGAGGTGCGAGGGAGGATGGAGTGGCAAAAAATAGGAAGAAGAAGGACGTTATTCTAACTGTTGTTTACAACTTTTTAGACGACCAGTTATTGATTTTTTGTCAGGACAGACCTGAGAGACAGTAAAGCCATGTGACTTGGATTCCCCATCCATTGCCGATCGGTTCTCTTGCATCCACTCTTCCAGTTAGTTGCTAACTAACTTTTCTGTGCTTACGAGGACGACAGTCATTTCGGAATCAGCCGAATCCGTAGTGCAGGTTGATTGCGTCGTGGCAGAGTCGTGGGAGATGCTGCGGCAGTTTGGAAGTCGGCCACGCAGGCAGTAGGACAGCGATGCAACCGATGCTACTTCCCCATACATTCGCCGTGTCTTCATTTTCATCCTCCAGGTAATGTCGCCAGCCGGGATCTAGTTCGGACGAAATAACATCCCGAGCGATGTTGTCTTCATGTCGAGCCAACCTCCCAGAGGAATGCAGAGGGCGCGGCTGACGAGTTACATTTCCAATCGACGATCTAGTTGTCAATTGGAGACGCAACCATACAGCCAAATTCGCAGACCAAAGCGCGAGCACTGTCAATAGGGCTCATATACGAAGTGGGTACGTTCTCGACGAATGTTTCAATTCCTACAAGCGTATAGAATGGATTTCTTGAATGAGAACTTCACTACTGACAGCTCCGAATTCTGAATTGCGTCACTCTGATTCCAGATATTTTACGAACGCCAAATAACGGTCGAGCATACTCAGCTGATCCGATGACCCATTTACTTCTTACTCTGCCCGTTGTGCGGAATCTTTGACCCAAGGTAACTGAAACCATCAACTGCGCCGAAAGTTCCACCATCTGTCGCGGCCAAGGCGCGTTATCCTCGGTCACAAGATCGACACTTATCATCATTGTCTTGGACGAGTTTATTTTCTGGTTCGTGTTAACTGTCCTCTCACCCATCCTGGTCACGGCGCGTGGCATTGTTACATAGTGGCTCAGTAACACCAGAACATCATCAGCCTAGTATAAATCCGTAGTACGTAGACTATGACTGGGGCATAATTTGACTTTGTTCTAACGAGTGTGATCTAGCAGATGTTGCCATGGAAGTAACTGCTCAATAATCTGCTGGGGTAGAGCTCTCATTTTGTCTGCACCAGCGTCTGCGTTTGAGGTACGAATGGCTAATAATACAGAAACGATCATCCTAGTTAAAGTGATTTTTGCCTGTACAATTCTTCGATGACTAATCGCTTGTCGCTACGACACGGCCCGGATGGACAAGCTCCTATTCCGATTTAAAACAGAATTGTTCGTCTTTTGAGCGCGACAGGGTGATTAGTAAATTTGCTATCTGATTTTCAGCACTAAAAATCTCTCATGCTTTGCCTTACTTTAAAAAGGTCTCGGGACAACATGCCGAGAATGATAAGTTGTGACCGTCCTCTGGAGACACTTGACTGTCTGTTCGTATAACCCAAGGACTGGCTGCCGCACAGACATGTACCAGCCGTTATCTACGACTCTAACTGCCGCAATTGCATGACCATATATTTCGGCATGAGTGAAGAACGCCTAGTGATATTGATGCACAGATATGAACTGGCAGTACGCGCTCGCATATGCATTGATTTCGCCCTCACTGAAATGGCCGAAAGCAAACCAGCCGAGAGACAATTTAGGTCTGACAGTCTGGCGCCAAATCTAATTAACTGGTGAGTCAACCTACCTGAGGCCTATGTGAGGCTTCTACTAAAATTTTCAACTTTACTCTTAAACTGAAAATATGGCAGAATATTCCGGAAGACTCTGCGCGAGATACAATGTTTAGTCAGTTAAAGTTGACCTTCTAGTGACGGCAGAATTACACAACTGGGAGGATCATGTCATCCACACTATCAAAGTGCCATAGGTAGTCATCATAAAAGTGCTAACCCATGGTTGAGATAAAGAATGAAAAACCCATTTAAGTGTAAAAGAATTTTTTTTATGAAACCTTCATACACAGAGATTAGTTCCGCGAAAATTCCCATATTACAATTTAAAAGTCAATTGGCTAACATATGCTTTCGGTAATTCCTCATCAGGCCGATTCATTTACACGGGTAATGATCAGTCTAATTGTCGACAGGGTATAAATGCGTCTCGGGGGCTGGATTAATCGAACTCCATGTTCCCACGCCGCACGCATGACGGAGTCAGTGTGTTGAGGACGATGGAGTTGGGGTGGGAGAGGGGGAAGGAGTCGGAGTGGGAGGGGGGGGGGAAGTAGAGGGGATCCCGCTGACTCCGTCATGCTGGCGGCGTGGGAACATGGAGTTCGATTAACCCAGTCCCCGAGACGCATTTATACCCTGTCGACAATTAGACTGATCATTTCCCTTGTAATTGTACAGGCCCGATGAGGAATTACCGAAAGCATATGCTGCACAGAGATTACTTAACTTTGCCAAGTGAAAGCGCGTTGCGTCTAAGGAGGTTTTCCCCGTAATATCACAAGATCTTTGCGTATTTCCGGAAGGGCATTTATCCAGTCACCCTTATCACAATCAAAATAATCCGTCAAGCAAAAGGGGTACACCGTGTAGGTCTCATGGAAAAGTAAGGACAGTAAGCGGACTTGGACCCTTAATTTCGGTCTCTTTTTACTTTCGGAGTATAACATTTCAGAGTAAGCCTCGTGCACAGAAAGAGAGTTAGAAATCCACAAAATTCAATTTATAGCAAACACACATGCTCCAAAGTCATCATGCTTGGTGGAAGTAAACATGCCATTCCTCACAAACGCTTTTACGTTAGTAGCAGTCGAGTTAAAACCCACTGTTCCGATAATAAAATTTTCCGGACAGAAATAAGATGAATCTTCATACCAATTCTGAAATGGGATATGCGCATCACTTTGTATGTCCGTGTAGGAAACTCTGACAATTCAGGGCAAAAGGTACTGCAAACGCCAAGGCCGTCTAGCTAAAAAAAATTCCCACTCGACTTTCCCATGCGTGAACAATGCATCTGAACTTGTCGCTAATGGCACACCAACCAGCCATCACTTTATGCATCGAGCTTGTACGCGCTAAGGGCAGAGTTAGCTACCTCGAAATAAAAAGTCTTTGTCTAGAAAACCCCATGTGAGAGTTGCTAAACCGTCTAATGAGGCCAAATTGGGAAGTCTGTTTTAACCGGCATACACGAGCATCATCTAGCGGTGAGGAGACGAGACCGTCTATTCCAAGCGGTTATGCACAAGCTGAAAAAAATGGACACAATTTTGCGTGGGGTAAAACTCGCGTCGTTGACGCCTGCCCAACATAGAAATGCCGCGAATTCCTAGAGGTAATACACTTAGATGACGCACTCATTAATATGCATTTCGAATTAGATGTCACACTAAAAACGGTCACAACGACTGCCGACCCGGTAACCGAATACGGTTGACTTTCAGCCACAGCCTTTTTGTCGCCTGGCTCGGGGTAATGGGTTTCTACACGCCAGTAGTGTTCTCACGCAGCTGCGTTTATAGAAACCCATTGCACCGAGCCAGACGATAAGAAGGATGGGGTCCAGTTCCTGCGGAAACTCTTCACAGCTAACTGCTGTCCTGAAAATTGTGTTGAAAAGTGCAGGCAAGAAACCCGGAGAAGGAAACCAAAGAGGCAACCAAAACCGAAATTCTGACTCGCAGTACCATACATAGCTGATGTGTCAGAAGAATTCGCTAGACTGACGAGGGAATTTGGGAATGGCGTCGCTCACAGACCTAAAGCAACAATACGCCAGAAACTCATGCACACTAAGAACCCGATTCCCATCAATCGGAAATCGGGATAGTTTACCTGATAGATTGAAGTTGTGCTCAAGCAAATTATGTTGGTGAAGCCGGCAAACACGTACGCACGAGACTGCACGAACATGAGTTGGTTGTGAGACGAAAGGATAAACTCTCTTCCTCGCCAGGGCACGGCTCTGACCTTCAGTGCGTGAGAATATTGGGCCAGTCGGAGAGCCGAGTTGCCCACCTGCTACAGGAAGCGTGGCCGTCAAAGGAGCACTCGATTAATCGACATTTCGATTTGCCAATCGCTTATCAAACACTGCATGAACAAATCAACAGCGCAGCTGGAGGCCATCCCCGGCAGAGGTGGACTAAAAATGCGATGAGTTGTACACGTTTTCGTTCCTTGAGGATGGGCACGAGTGAGAGCTCGAAGTGCCGAATAAATGAATGAAATTGCGAGGATAACCGTTGGAGATGAATATCCGCCGAAGATAATGGAGTTCGGCCGAACTCCATTATCTTCGGCAGATGTTCATCTCCAACGATTTGCCCTCGCAGTTTCATCGAACGCAGCAGGCAACCAAAGAAGGCTATAAGGCCAACGAGAGAACAACCAAAATTGTGGCGGGCGCTACAGTATACTGAGAATGAATCCGAAGCAGTCGCTCGTCTCTTACAACCTCTGGGGATCGGCGTCGCCCACAGACCTGAAGCGACGTTTCGTCATGAAACCCAAGTCCCCTCTGTCACGAGGCGAAACAGCGAATGTCGTCTACTGTGTCCAGTGCAGTTCCTGTGAGGCGAACTACGTTGGAGAGACCGGAAAACGTCTACAATCCCGCATAAGTGAGCACGCAAGAGCAGTGAGAAGGATGGACCAACTCTCACTGGTGGCGGAACATTGTGCAGCCTCTGGGCACGCTTTCGCCTTCCAGAACGCCGAAATCCTAGGCCGAGGTACCGACCAGGCAGCCAGGGAAACGCTCGAAGCCTGGCACACCGTACCAACTTCCATCAACCGCTGCACGATTCTCCCGGCGGCTTACCAGGCCCTACGAGTGCGATTCAACCAACGGAATCAAAGGCAGGAAGTCAGGACCACAAGCCCAAGTGAACACTGTTCGCGCCCAAACACCGATGACGGGGGTCAGCAGGCCGATAAAGGAGACACAGGCAACGGGCCAGCAGCCACCGAGGTGCACACGGGCAGAGGCAAACGGGCGACAATTACGAGAAATGCGGGTCAGGCACAACAAATGCGGGTAATGCAGACGAGGTCAATGACCGTTGCCATCCCGACTCAGCCCACCCGACTAGGAGACGAGGAAGGGACCGGCCAGCACGACAGCAATTAACTCCTCCCCCCGCAGCAGATCCTGCACGAATAGCAGTAGGAACAACAACACTCCCGCATGCTCAGCACCCATAAATACTGTGAGGCGCCGTACAGAACCCACCTCCGACGATGGAAGCTTGTTTGCTTTTGAAACGTCAGGCTATTAAACCTATGGTTCCCGAGATCGCCTCTTCTTCTCATTTATCCCCGGGGACGCGCATTTTCGCTTTAATTGGAGATATATATATATAATGGAGATAAAAGCAATGGCCGCCGTCCCCTCGCCTCACCCAACAACGGATGAGGAGGAGCCGATGCCACCATAACAACAGTCGCCAATCCGTGATGCAGCGCACTAGAAGTCAATGCCAAGTTAGCACGAAGAAAAACCCTTAAATGCTGTGAGGCGCCGTCCGCAACCCACCAGAGATGATGGAAGCTTGTTTGCTTCCGAAACGTGAGCCCAAGAAATCTCTGGTTTCTGTGATCACCATACCTTCTCAGTATGTCCGGGAATGCACATTTTGGCTTTCATCAGCAATATACAGTAGATGTGCTAACTCATGAAATGTCAACCAAAATTTCGAAATGCGTTCTCGTTTCGAAACGATAAATTAAGTTGTGTTGTAAAACTAATCAGGATGTAGCATAAATTTATAATAATCCAGTTACCTCAGGTGGTCGGCTTTAGAAAGAAGTTATTTGCGGCTGCATGCAAGATCTATACTCTACAAAAAATGACTACTTACGTAGCATGCAATTTTCGCATTGATTTTCGATGTCCTTGAAAATCCAATTATATTTCATGGGAAACATGCATAAAAATATTCATTCTTTTACGTATTCGGTAGAAAATCACGTTTTCTTCCAATTTCATACTCAAAGGAAGAGTATTATATATATATATTGTCAATTAAGGCGAAAATGCGCGTCCCCCGGGATAAATGAGAAGAAGAAGCGATCTCGGGAATCATAGGTTTAATAGCCTGACGTTTCAAAAGCAAACAAGCTTTCATCGTCGAGGGTAGGTTCTGTACGGCGCCTTACAGTATTTATGGGTGCTGAGTATGCGGGAGTGTTGTTGTTCCTACTGCTATTCGTGCAGGATCTGCTGCGGGAAGAGAAGTTAATTGCTATCGTGCTGGACGGTCCCTTCCTCCGTCTCCTAATCGGGTGGGCTGTGTGGGATGGCAAGTTCATTGACCTCGTCTGCATTGCCAGCATTTGTTGTGACTGACCCGCGTTTCTCCTAATTGTCGCCAGTTTGCCTCTGCCCGTGTGCACCTCGGTGGCTGCTGGCCCGTTGCCTGTGTCTCCTTTATCGGCCTGCTGACCCCCGTCATCGGTGTTTGGGCGCGAAATGTGTTCACCTGGGCTTGTGATTCTGACGTCCTGCCTTTGATTCCGTTGGTTGAACCGCACTCGTACGGCCTGGTAAGCCGTCGGGAGAATCGTGCAATGGTTGGTGGAGGTCGCTACGGTGTATCAGGCTTCGAGCGTTTCCCTGGCTGCCTGGTCGGTACCTCGGCCTAGGATTTCGGCGTTCTGGAAGGCGAAAGCGTGCCCAGAGGCTGCACAATGTTCCGCCACCAGTGAGAGTTGGTCCATCCTTCTCACTGCTCTTGCGTGCTCACTTATGCGGGATTGTAGACGTTTTCCGGTCTCTCCAACGTAGTTCGCCTCACAGGAACTGCACTGGACACAGTAGACGACATTCGCTGTTTCGCCTCGTGACAGAGGGGACTTGGGTTTCATGACGAAACGTCGCTTCAGGTCTGTGGGCGACGCCGATCCCCAGAGGTTGTAAGAGACGAGCGACTGCTTCGGATTCATTCTCAGTATACTGTAGCGCCCGCCACAATTTTGGTTGTTCTCTCGTTGGCCTTATAGCCTTCTTTGGTTGCCTGCTGCGTTCGATGAAACTGCGAGGGCAAATCGTTGGAGATGAACATCTGCCGAAGATAATGGAGTTCGGCTACGTTGTCGGCTGCCTCGCTGCAGTGAGTTTCCGCCCTCTTGTAAAGAGTCCGCACACAGCTACGTTTATGGCACAGCGGGTGGTTACTGGTAGTAATTGAGAACCTGACGTGTTTTTGTGGCCTTTCGGTATACCGTTGTTCTTAGGCTCCTGTTGGTTTTGCGGTGGACCAGGACGTCTAGGAACGCTAGTTGGTTGTTGACTTCTGCCTCCCTTGTGAACTGGATGTCCGGAAAAACAGAGTTCAGGATTGTGTGAAATTCGGAGACCATCTCCCGCTTGAGGATGATGAAGGTATCGTCCACATACCGTGCCCAAAATATTGGTCTGTGGGTTGCGAACATCAGCGTCTCTAACTTTTGAAGGACCGCCTCAGCAATGAAACCAGACAGCGGCGAACCCATTGGAGTTCCTTTGATTTGTTCATAGACCGTTCCTTCAAAGGTGAAATAGGTCTTGAGGCAAAAATGGAGCATCTGGATAAGGTGCCCTCGTTTAAGCTTATTGGTCTCGTCATCATATTGACTCTCGAGTAGATCGCCGAAAGTTTCAATTGCTAGACTCTGAGGAATTGAGGTGAAGAGTGAGGTAACATAAAATGATACTATGACTTCGTCTGCATTAAGGTGTAGACCCTGAAGTCTTTCCAAGAAATGTACGGCGGAGCCTGACGTGAGACAGTTCACCGCTGAACAGCCATTTTGCCAGGTTGAATGTAGGCGTTCCGCGCAAAGATACGATAGTTCGAAGTGGAGCACCAGGTTTGTGCACTTTCGGCAGCCCATAGAATCTCGCCATAGCCGAATCTGTTGGCTTATGGCCATTTGATCTGCTTTTGAGATGGCACCGTTGCTCTGTAACCTAGCGAGCGTCGTGTTTATTTGTGCCACCAACTTCTTCATCGGATCTCCGTCGCACCTGAGGTGAGAAGAATGGACCAACTCTCACTGGTGTCGGAACATTGTGCAGCCTCTGGGCACGCTTTCGCCTTTCAGAACGCCAAAATCCTACGCCGAGGTACCGACCAGACAGCTAGGGAAACGCCCGAAGCCTGAAACACCGTACCAACCTCCATCAACCGCTGCACGATTCTCCCGACGGCTTACCAGGCCGTACGAGTGCGGTTCAAACAACAGAATCAACGCAGGAACTCAGGATCACTTTTCAATTGTAACATGGGAATATATATATAAATGGAGAACTGGAGATCACCTCTGGGATCACATGTTTACTCTTCCGGCTTTTCGATCGATAGCTTATTGATTTGCCGGCTGCCTACCAGTCGCTGTAGGAAATAGCCATTTTCACAGTTAAAGTTAACTCCCGACAGATGTGTGTTAAGTACACTGTGGGCTGTACTTTCTGTCAAGGGAAGGTTCGGAACGTCAAAGGAATAAAGAAATTATGCCAGCGATCTCCTCTCCCCCTTATACTTCTTCCTACATTGCTTGGGTCTCACGTGTTTTCTGCCAATCGTAATGCATATAGATTTAAATCTCAAATGCGGTTATAGATCGGATTGTGCCAGATCGTCGACGAAAGGTACCGAAAGTAGGAGGATGTGCTCATACAATCAAACAAAACGTCCACACAGTTAACAGTAAGTTAAACCGGCCAAAAGTCAGCTTGAGACTGCTTTACTGATTTCCTCTTCTTCTCCCTTTTGAGCAAGCGAGGACGAAATGCGCGATGCATAATTCGCAAACGGCGCCTTGCGTGACACCTGCGCCGCCATCCCTTTACAATGGCAGTGACAGCGAGTTCATTAAAATTTACTTTGAGGGAACTACCTGAGTTCCAGCCCAATTTTGTCCGCTCGTC